GCTGCTGCTTCGGCAGCCTCATACATTTTTGCTCGGTGCGACCAGCGGAGGCAGCTCAAACAACGCCAAGGCCCTTCATCGCCTCCGCAACCTTGACGAAGCCGGCGATGTTGGCCCCATTCACGTAATTCGTCGTGTTGCCCTCAGTGCCGTACTTCACGCACGCGTCATGGATGGAGTTCATGATATCGTGGAGTTTTTTGTCCACCTCCTCCGCGGTCCATCCCAGGCGCATGGCGTCCTGCGTCATCTCTAGGCCAGAGACGGCAACCCCACCGGCGTTGGAAGCCTTCCCGGGGGCGAACAGGACGCCGGCATTGATGAACTCCGTGGTCGCCTCCATCGTCGTCGGCATGTTCGCGCCCTCCGCAACGGCGCTGACGCCGTTCCTGATCAGGTTCCTTGCATCCTCAAGCTCCAGCTCGTTCTGCGTCGCGCACGGCAGCGCAATATCCGCCTTCAGGTGCCACGGACGTTTCCCTGCGTGGTACGCAGCGCCCACCTGCTTTGCGTACTCCTCCACCGTCCCGTGCTTCTTCTCCTTGATGTCCATCAGGACCTTCAGCTTCGCCGGCGTGAAGCCCGCCGCGTCGTGCACGCAGCCCCGTGAGTCCGAGACGCTGATCACCTTCGCCCCCAGCTGGAGGCACTTCTCCACGGCGTGCAGCGCCACGTTGCCAGCCCCAGACACAAGCACCGTCTTCCCCTTCAGTTCCTGCTGGTGCCTCTTCAGCATGGCCTCCAGGAAGTAGACAACGCCGTAGCCCGTGGCCTCGGGGCGCATCAGGCTTCCTTGGAACGCAACGCCTTTACCTGTAAATGTGCAGGCCTTGCAGTTCGTCAACTTCTGTGTCATGCCTGTCATGTAGCCAACCTCGCGACCACCGACGCCGATGTCGCCGGCTGGAACATCCGTGTCGGCGCCGATGTGGCGGTGCAGCTCCGTCACCAGGGCCTGGCAAAACCGCATCACCTCACGGTCGCTCTTCCCCTTGGGGTCAAAGTCCGAACCACCTTTGCCGCCGCCCATGGGGAGCGTCGTCAGAGCGTTTTTGAAGGTCTGCTCAAATCCAAGAAACTTGAGAATCGACAGGTTCACGGAGGGGTGGAACCGCATGCCGCCCTTGTACGGGCCGATGCAGGAGTTGAACTGCACACGCCACGCCCGGTTCACCTGCACCTCCCCCTTGTCATCCACCCACGACACTCGGAACTGGATGACGCGCTCCGGCTCCACCAGGCGCTCCAGGAGCGAGTCCGCACAGTACTCTGGGTGCCCCTCCAGGAAGGGCCAGAGTGAGGTCATCACCTCACGGACCGCCTGCACAAACTCGGGCTGATATGCATCGCGCCTCTCCACGCACTTTTTGATGAAGTCGTCCACGGAAGTGTACTTCATTGATAATGTTATTTTATTTTATTTGGCTTTTTGCTCTTGTTTTTCACTTCGCTTTCTTCAGGGCGCAGAGAGGACAAGGACAAGGACAAGGACAAGAAAGGAAAAAAAAAAGTGCGGCCACTACCAAGTGCCAGTCTCATTCGGGAGGCGGGTAACCCATCGCAAGGCGGAAGGCATACGCGTTGCAATGCATCCGGACGCCGTCGCGCTGCAGCGCCCAAGAGTGCGTCACTGTCTGCTCCGACTGTCCAGCACAATTGTTACTGGGCCATCGTTCACCAGGTTGACACGCATGCATGACTGAAACCGTCCCGTCGCGACTCGGTCCTCCGCATAGCCCCTCGCGAGGGCGTCACGAAGGCAGTGGAACATCTCCAGCGCACGCTCGGGGTCCATCGCAAGATGAAAGTCCGGCTTGTTGCCCTTCAGGACGTGCATGAGGGTGAATTGGGAAATGAGCAGGATGCCGCCGTCGACCTGCCTCACGCAGCGGTCCCACGACTTCGCTCCGTCCTCGCTGGGCCATATGCGCAGCGCCAGGAGCTTCCGCGCAACGTAATCGACGTCGGCGGCGGTGTCATCGCGATGGATCCCGACCAGCACCGCAATGCCGCGCCCCACCGCCCCGACGACCTCGTCGCCCACGGTGACGGAGCCGCTAAACACCCGCTGCACCACCACCTTCATCCGCCCGGCACCTCGCTTATTTTAGCCTCTTGCAGCCGCCCCGAAAGGTCACCAGCAGTCAAAAAGAGATAAAATGGAGAGCAGCATGCGTCCTCAACTGCACAACGCTGCGGCCGCCATACACACAATTGCTGTGACTCAATGCACCGTGGCACGCCCAACACTCCCCCCCCCCTCTCAGTTGCAGGGGTACTTAAACGAATTCTCCAAAAACAAGTTCCTCAAAGGCACACACAATTTATTTTTCTTCGCCAAATATAATAAACACACCAAGGCGCTCAACAAGTCACATCGCCCCGCCGTGCCGCAGCCGTGCAGTGGCCACGTTGCAAGGCATACAAAAAAAAAGCACTGCCAAAAAGCCCACAATCCGCTAAAACATAATAAAAAGGTTAATTCCATTACAACCGGCCCACACACGCGAGCAACACATATCAACTGTTTTTTTTTTTAAGACCAAACAAAAAAAACCGTTCCGCACAATCCAAATCAATTCATTTCCTTCATCTCACGACGAACCTTACGAACAAACCGACTGCAGTGGATGTGAACAACGAATGAGAGGGGAGCTCCCACAGCCGCCACGCATGTGGCGACGATGAGCGGAAGGTGCACGCACTCCGCCACGCTGCATTCCTCCTTGGGGCCAAACCCCAAGCTGGCGTGATTTGCGTCCACCACATAGCTGAAGAGAAAACTGTTACACCCTACGACGGAAAACAATGCTGTCAGGAAGCCTACATTGTAGTACACAGCATGGTCGTTTGCAAACAGCGACGGAAACATCACAGCACCAACAGCGGCAAGCACACCTTCCTCAAAGTACACTATGATGTAAGGGAACAAGATGGCCTCCCCTGGCAGCGTTAGAAGCAAGACGCCGGCGATGGCAGCAAGGAGCGGCGAAAGAGGCAAAGCGAGCGTCACCATGTACCGGCGGTTGTTGGGGAGCTGGCGCTGCACAAAGGCTTTGAACATTCCCATCGACATCCGCCCAACGCTACTGGACACTCCGAGGAACGCGGTGTACAGCGCGGAGGTCTGCTGGCTCCGCTTAGGCCCAGTCAACGCCACGGAAATGGCACTTGCGTTGTAAACGACAATGACACCCATGACGCTCTGACACATGAAAATCAACCAGATGTCTAGTCGCTTTAAATTATCCCACACGGTGCCGCCATAGCGGAAATCCCGCGGAACATCCACGTCGCCGTCAGACGCATTTGTGACCCCATCTGGCAAGGCAGCCCGCTCCTTCTCCGGCATGTTTGGCACGATGGTGTTTGTAGCGGGGTCAACCCCCTTGCCACAGCCATCCTCATCCTCCGCCTCATTAGCCCGCACGGGCTCTTCATCAGCACTGCCTTCCATGGCGCCCAGCCACGGAAGAGGCAGCAGCATCAGGAAGAAACACAGCACAAGAGCAATCGTAATGACACCAAGGGCGACCCAACTCCCCCTCGACACCTTCGTGTAGCTCACCATGGGAGACTGGACGGTGAAGAAGACCAGCAGCAAAACCACAACAACGTAACCGACGCCAAGGCGGTGCACGGGAACAAACTTGCGGCGATACGCAGGCTCCAGGGCCGCCATGGCAGCAAGCTGCTCCGCACTCTTCCTGCGGCGCCGCCATCCGTTGACGAAGTACGGTGGCAGGACCACCACGAAGGCCGCCACGCCGCACACAACAACGGAGTACGCCATGATGGCGTAAATGAAGCCGGAGATGTTGTCGCCGAAGAGGTTCACGCTAATGGAGGCCAGCACGGAGGAGCCAAGCCGGTCAGTACCTTCGCAAGAGCAACGACGGG